ACATTATGATGATGTCCTACCGAGTGGGCCCAGAGATACCTCTCCGTTTTACACGGAGTGACAAAATCCCAATCTCGATTCGTGCCAACCCAACAGACACTTTCAGAGATACCCGTAGTGTACCTTTATAGCCACCCAGTTACGTTGTGACGTTTGGCACACCCAAAGCACTCCTACGGTATCCGGGAGTTGCACAATCTCATGGTCTAAGGAAATGATACTTGACATTAGAAAAGCTTTAGCATACGAACTACATGATCTTGTGCTAGGCTTAGGATTGGGTCTTGTCCATCACATCATTCTCCTAATGATGTGATCCCGTTATCAACGACATCCAATGTCCATGGTCAGGAAACCGTAACCATCTATTGATTAACGAGCTAGTCAACTAGAGGCTTACTAGGGACATGGTGTTGCCTATGTATCCACACATGTATCTGAGTTTCCTATCAATACAATTCTAGCATGGATAATAAACGATTATCATGAACAAGGAAATATAATAATAATCAATTTATTATTGCCTCTAGGGCATATTTCCAACAGATCATGGTGTCATGCCGGTGACGATGATGATCATGGAGCCCCGAAGATGGAGATCAAAAGGAGCAAAATGATATTGGCCATATCATGTCACTATTTGATTGCATGTGATGTTTATCATGTTTATGCATCTTGTTTACTTAGAACGACGGTAGTAAATAAGATGATCCCTTACAACAATTTCAAGAAGTGTTCTCCCCTAACTGTGCACCGTTGCTACAGTTCGTCGTTTCGAAGCACCACGTGATGATCGGATGTGATAGATCCTTACGTTCACATACAACGGGTGTAAGACAGATTTACACATGCAATACACTTAGGGTTAACTTGACGAGCCTAGCATGTACAGACATGGCCTCGGAACACGGAGACCGAAAGGTCGAGCATGAGTCGTATAGTAGATACGATCAACATGAAGATGTTCACCGACGATGACTAGTCCGTCTCACGTGATGATCGGACACGGCCTAGTTGACTCGGATCATGCAATCACTTAGATGACCAGAGGGATGTTTATCTGAGTGGGAGTTCATAAGATGAACTTAATTATCCTGAACATAGTCAAAAGATCTTTGCAAATTATGTCGTAAGCTCGCGCTTCAGTTCCACTGTTTAGATATGTTCCTAGAGAAAATATAGTTGAAAGTTGACAGTAGCGATTATGCGGACAGTAGAAAGCTTATGTCCTTAATGCACCGCTCAGTGTGCTGAACCCCAAACGTCGTTTGTCGATGTTGTGAACATCGGACATACACATTTTGATAACTACGTGATAGTTCAGTTAAATGGTTTAAGTAGAGGCACCAAAGACGTTTTCGAAACGTCGCAGAACATATGAGATGTTTCGAGGGCTGAAATTGGGATTTCAGGCTCGTGCCCACGTCAAGAGGTATAAGACCTCCGACGATTTTAGCCTGCAAACTCAGGGAGAAAAGCTCAATCGTTGAGCTTGTGCTCAGATTGTCTGAGTGCAACAATCACTTGAATCGAGTGGGAGTTGATCTTCCAGATGAGATAGTGATGTTTCCCCAAAGTCATTGCCACCAAGCTGCTAGAGCTTCGTGATGAACTATAACATATCAAGGATAGAGATGATGATCCTTGAGGTATTCGCGTTGTTTGACATCGCGAAAGTAGAAATCAAGAAGGAGCATCAATTGTTGATGGTTGGTGAAACCACTAGTTTCAAGAAGGGTCAGGGCAAGAAGGGATACTTCATGAAACGGCAAATCAGCTGCTGCTCTAGTGAAGAAACCCAAGGTTGAACCCAAACCCGAGACTAAGTGCTTCTGTAATAAGGGGAACAACCACTGGAGCAGAATTACCCTAGATACTTGGTAGATGAGAAGGCTGGCAAAGTCGATAGAAGTATATTAGATATACATTATGTTAATGTGTACTTTAATAGTACTCCTAGTAGCACCAGGGTATTAAGATACCGGTTCAGTTGCTAAGTGTTAGTAACTCGAAATCAAAGAGCTACGGAATAAATGGAGACTAGCTAAAGGAGAGCTGACGATATGTGTTGGAAGTGTTTCCAAGTTTGATGTGATCAAACATCGCACGCTCCCTCTACCATCAAGATTAGTATTAAACCTGAATAATTGTCATTTGGTGTTTGCGTTGAGCATAGATATGGTTGGATTATGTCTATTGCAATACGGTTATTCATTTAAGGAGAATAATGGTTACTCTATTTATTTAAATAATACCTTCAATGGTCTTGCACCTAAAGGAGTGGTTTATTGAATCTCGATCGTAGTGATACACATTTTCATGCCAAAAGATATGAGATAGTAATACCACTTACTTGTGGCACTGCCATGTAAGTCATATTGGTATAAAACGCATGAAGAAGCTCCATGTTGATGGATCTTTGGACTCACTCGTTTTTGAAAAGTTTGAGACATGCGAACCATGTCTATTGGAGTATACGCATGAAGAAACTCCATGCAGATGGATCGTTTGGACTCACTTGATTTTGAATCACTTGAGATATGCAAATCATACCACATGGGCAGGATGACTAAAAAGCCTCATTTTTCAGTAAAATGGAACAAGATAGCAACTTGTTGGAAGTAACACGTTTTGATGTGTGCAGTCCAATGAGTGCTGAGGCATGCAGTGAATATCGTTATGTTCTTACTTCACAGATAATTCGAGTAGATGTTGAGTATATTTAGTTGATGAAACACAAGTCTGAATTATTGAATAGTTCAAGTAATTTCAGAGTGAAGTTGAAGATCTTCGTGATAAGAGGATAGCATGTCTATGATATGATCATAGAGATGAATATCTGAGTTACGAGTTTTGGCACACAGTTAAGACATTGTGGAAATTGTTTCACAATTAATACCGCCTGGAACACCATAGTGTGATGGTGTGTCCGAACATCATAGTTGCACCCTATTGAATATGGTCTGTACCATGATGTCTCTTATCGAATTACCACTATCGTTCATGGGTTAGGCATTAAAGACAACCACACTCACTTTAATAGGGCACCACGTTACTCCGTTGAGACGACACCTTATGAACTATGGTTTAGAGAAACCTAAGCTGTCGTTTCTTAAAGGTTTGGGGCTGCGATGCTTATGTGAAAAAGTTTCAGATTGATAAGCTTGAACCCAAAGTGGAAAAAAATGCATCTTCATAGGACACCCAAAATAGTTGGGTATACCTCCTAATTCAGATCCGAAAGCAATAGGGATTGTTTCTTGAATCGGGTTCTTTCTTGAGGAAAGGTTTGTCTCGAGAATTGAGTGGGAGGATAGTGGAGACTTGATGAGGTTATTGAACCGTCACTTCAACAAGTGTGTAGCAGGGCACAGGAAGTTGTTCCTGTGGCACCTACACCAATTGAAGTGGAAGCTTATGATAGTGATCATGAAGCTTCAGATCAAGTCACTACCGAACCTCGTAGGGTGACAAGGATGCGTACCACTTTAGAGTGGCACAGTAATCCTGTCTTGAAGGTCATGTTGCTAGACAACAATGAACCTACGAGCTATGGAGAAGCAATGATGGGCCCATATTCCAACAAATGGTTAGAAGCCATGAAATCCGAGATAGGATCCATGTATCAGAACAAAGCATGGACTTTGGTGGACTTTGGTCGAGTTAGCATGTTTTTTGATGTGTTTATCACATTCACCTCTAGGGCTGGAAACATGTGAGGATGAGATTGTTTAAGAAAAACATGCCAACTTGATTTGTGCTGAGCTAGAGGTCGAGTTAGCGAGTGAGCTCTTACTCACAATCTCATCCTCACATGTTTCCAGCCCTAGAGGTGAATGTGATAAACACATCAAAAAACATGTGTGTATGCCTGCCCACAAAATTATTACGAGGAAAGCAATTATATTAAAACTTAACGAGTTTTTTTGAACATCAGTACAGACACAAGCGCTCATATATACACGCATACACTCACCTCTATGAAGGCACACACGCACATCCTACCCCTATGAGCGCCTCTGAAAGACTGAGCTGACATATCGAAAATCCTGAAATAAATTCAGGAATAAATGCGAACACCAGTATTTGAACCCTGGTGGGCTGAGGATATCAGAGTCCCTCTAACCATCCAACTACAGGTTGATTGCACTTAACAAGTTTTTTGCGGTTACGAATATTACCAACAAAAATAAAAAATACGTTCTACAATACGAAACAGTATTTTTCACAAAGCCGTTACTAAATGATCTTTTTTAGAACTGACTCTGAGAATTTAAGTGGCCCATACAAAAGCACTATTTCGGGGGGTGTTAAACAGCAAATCATGATTTTTATTTCTGGGATCACACAAAAAAACGTGCGGTATAAGTTATATCCGGCTTATTAAGACTATATTGATCATTCACTCAAAGCATTCCCGGTTTACTCGCATCCGAATTAATTGTTTCTTACTTATCTCGCTCGGTTATTTATGAGTTTGGATTAGCTGCCGGTGTCCGTACACACCAGTCCTTCCGCTCCCCGCAGACGATCCCCCCTCGGAAGCCCAGCATCGGGAGGCGGAGATCTACCGGGCAGTCGGCCGCACGCCACTCTCTCGCTGCCACTGCCCACCGCGTCCACTGACATGACGGCCCCACTCCGCGGGGGCCACAGGTCATCGACCGGTCTCGCCGGCAGGTCGTCCCCACGTCGCCGCCCCGCCCCCGCCACGTCACCGCCGAAATCATTAGTATTTTGCTCCCTTTCGCGACCCCGTTTGTTAAGCGTCCTTCCGTTCGCTATCTCCTCTTCCTCTTCCTCTTCAACCCCCTCCCCCCTCTCCAGCGTAGCACACCCCTCCTCTCTCTCTAGCATCTCTCCTCTCCCTCCTCCCAGCTCGCGCGGGAGACACTGGTCAGAGGCCAGGTCGAGCGCGGCGGGGCGTGGGGGGCGAGCTCCGCTGGTCCCGAGGGCACCGGAGGGCCGTCGGCGCTGCCTCCGGCGGCCGGTGGGGCGGCATGGGCAGGAACGGAAGCATCAAGCGGGGCGCGGCCGCCGCGGCGCCTCCGTCGTTCACAGTGAACCCGGCCGACTACCGGCTCATGGAGGAGGTGGGCTACGGCGCGCACGCCGTCGTGTACCGCGCGCTCTTCCTCCCCAGGAACCAGACCGTTGCCGTCAAGTGCCTGGATCTCGACCAGCTCAACAACAACATCGTGAGCATCCGTCTCGTCCCGTCCTCCCTCCCTGCTCTCTTACGGTTTTGGCGTTGGGTTGCTTCTGGGCGTCCTCTGCTGTTTGATCTGGCGAGAGATCCATTGGTTGATTGGAGTGGATCCTACTGCTGATTCGGTAGCTTTGGAGATCGCGCTGGAATTTGGCCTGTCTAGCGTCCTATTAGCCTCGCGTACTCCAGGATTTGCTTCTACATAATATAGTGACAGTTAATAAATTAGCATTTTAATGATGCGCCACTAGTCGTTGTAAAGAGGCTAGGACGATCAGTTGAGTCCTGTATATGCAGCATTTTCAATTCTTAGGGTGGCTGTATTTTTGGATGTTTTCTTTTGGCTTGCAGCTGGTTGAGAGGGTCAGTTATTTTTGCTAGAATGTCGCAACATCGGCAACTATCATTTACTTCGAGCATTTTTTTTGCCCATGTATGAACCTGATGGCGGTGGATACGGCATAGTGCCACTGCCAGAACCCTGCCTGGAGAAGGGAGATGCTTAAATTTGCATGCATGCTGCATGGGCAGGGACGCGGTCATGCAGCTTCGCCTTGTGCTTCCATTTGGGTGGGCACACGTGTTCGTTGATGACGAAGGTCTTAGGAGAAGGGGACATTGTCGTCTACTAGAATTCATGACTCATAGATAGATACAAGGATCAACATTTCCTAGTGCTACGTAAGATTATGCGGTTCGTACCATGACATTATCCTTTTGGGGTTTGGGAGGATGTCATTATTATACATCTCTACATGAACATGTATACCATACACGTATGCCAACAAGCTCAAGTATCGGCGTAACCAAAGCTCAATCAATGCCTCTTATATTTACGATACGCCCTTCTTTTTAGGGGGAGGGGGCATTATGTCACCAAAGAGAAGTAAAGTCGTAAACTCGTGATTCTTGTTTTCTAAATTCCAATTGTAGTTTCTCCTGCACCATTTGTCGTTAGTGCACTCGAAGACAAGCATACAATTTTCTCTAAAAGAAACCCTCATTGCATACCAAATTGTCATACAGGCTACTTGTTTTGGGGGAGTTAGTGATACCTTTTTCGCATATGCGATATGTTAACTAGGGTGCAAGCGGCATCCCACTTCGTCCTGCAAAACTCATCAATTAGCTCATCAGTTAATGTAAAATTAACTCTACATTTGTACCGTGGTATTGTCTGCCATTCCGCCCCGCTTGCATCCCTAATGTTAACACTGCGTAGTGTCAAATGTCGACATATTTCTTTTCTTGGTTTCTTCCCTTTCTGGAGGCTATAAATGAATTTAGATCTTACAAATGTATATCATTTGCAGGATGAAGTACAAAGGGAGGCTCAAATAATGAGCTTGATCGATCACCCTAATGTCATTAGGGCTTACTGCTCATTTGTTGTGGAGCACAGTCTTTGGGTCATAATGCCATTCATGACGGAGGGTTCATGTTTACACTTGATGAAGATTGCGTATCCTGAAGGTTTCGAGGAACCTGTTATTGCATCAATTTTAAAAGAAACACTCAAGGCTCTGGAGTACCTTCATAGGCAAGGACAGATCCATCGTGATATCAAGGTTAGCTTCTATAGAAGATTCCTGCGCAGTTCTTATAGTGTTTGATGTGGTTTGTGATGATTCTTTATTTTTGCTCAATATGGCACTATGCAGGCTGGTAACATCCTTATTGATAGTGCTGGTGTAGTGAAGCTTGGGGACTTTGGCGTTTCTGCTTGTATGTTTGATAGAGGTGATAGACAAAGATCTAGGAACACATTTGTTGGAACTCCATGCTGGTAAGTAGATTTCTGTATCTTGATGCTAGGGATCAAATTAATATTATAGAACTTGAGAATGTTTTGACCCTTTTTTTGTTTCTAATTTTACCTTTTAGGATGGCTCCAGAAGTGCTCCAGCCTGGTACTGGATATAACTTCAAGTATGTTACATTGCTAATTGTGCATACAAATGCACATACCTTTTGGTAACAAATGTGTTTTAGGATTTGTTGCTTGATTTTATGTCATAAAGAGCATCACTGCAGTCACCTTGGACGTCTTCTATGCATTGTACCTTTGTGTTCTTATTATTTTCTGTATGAATTCATTGCTATTATTCTTTTTAACAACCATCACCATTAAAAATGAAGTTTTGCTAAAATTACATTTCTGGAGGTGGTAATAGCCTGGCCCTGGTACTTTCTTTCATAGGGACTCTTATCTTTTGCAACTCCTGCATCACACATCATCATCTTGTAGGCAAGGATGGGGCTATCCTTTCCATTATAAGTTACAAATCCAGAATATAGTAAGGATAATGTACTGACAAGAGTGTCAGACAAATATTGTATCTTATTTTTAAGTTCAGCAGTCTGTTCTTGCGATTTGGGCATTTATGTTAATATTCCATATTGTGTCATGCTTGCTTTTAGTACTCCAGAAATGTTAATCTTCACAAAGCTGTTTGTTGATAGTCTGTCCCCAGTAAGATACTAAGGCCTTGTACAATGGGAGGTGCTTAGAGAAATAAACCAGGCTTCCTTAAGCACCGGTGCTTATTTGTACAGGGTAGACGCTTAACTAAGCGTCTCTCCTGTAGAAATAGGCACCGGTGCTTCAGAAAAACACGGTTTATTTTTCTAAACACCTCTCTAAGCACCTCCCATTGTACAAGGCCTGAGATAACTCATGCCATGCCATGGACAAATCACCTGATGTTCGGAGACTTACTTTCATATTGAATTAAATGGCTTGTCAAGATTCAGCACCCTGATGCTTTTTTTGGCATTTTATTTACTAACCGAGATGGACTAACAGCTAATATCCATATTTTTACAGAGCCGATATATGGTCGTTTGGAATCACTGCACTTGAACTAGCGCATGGACATGCTCCATTTTCGAAGTACCCCCCTATGAAGGTAACGATTTGATTTCATCTGCAATGTAAAGTAATTAATCATTTATGTGATTTTTTTGCTTTTGATATTGTGGTGGTGTATGGGTTGGTGATGACTAATATTTTTTTTATACCTACGGGCCAGTGACTCATTGCACACCTCATACTAATATTATAGTACAACAGTATAATCTGCACACTTATTTGTATTCTATTTCCATTGGCCAAGGGCATCTGGTGGTCATGCCCTGTACCCTCATATTGCACAAGGGTAACATATCCATGCAAATCCTCATGTTTTTTAAATATAGTTCCTTTCGGCTACAGGTTCTTCTCATGACTCTCCAGAATGCGCCACCTGGTCTTGACTATGACCGAGACAGAAGATTTTCGAAGGTAATTTTGATCCTTTCAGCTAATTATTGGTTTTGGACCATTTATGTGGTTGAAAACTACAATGGAGTATATTCTACTGTTTACCTTTTGATGAAGCATTTTCACTTGTGCTCAGGCATTTAAAGAGATGGTTGCGATGTGCTTGGTGAAAGATCAAACAAAGAGGCCGACGGCTGAGAAGTTGCTCAAACATTCATTTTTCAAAACTGCAAAACCTCCAGAATCGACAATGAAGGGTATGTTAACTGATCTACCTCCTCTATGGGAGCGTGTAAAGGCACTCCAGGTAACTACAATTCTTCTGCTTTTTTATCTCAAAAATCACAATGTATTTCATATCTGATACTTCTTACATATTTCCAGCTTAAAGACGCAGCACAATTGGCTTTGAAGAAAATGCCTTCTTCTGAGCAGGAGGCACTTTCCCTGGTTTGTGATATTAAACCTTCATGTCTATATTTTGTGGTTCTGTTTCAGTTTGCTCTCAAGGCTATTTCGCATTTACAATTATTGCATAAGTTTCTTAGTGACTTCTAGAACAGGCCAGATCAACCTGTGAGTTGTTGATTAAAAAAGACCACATCAGTGCTGTCTTCGAAAGTGCGATCTAGTATAAGAGTGTTGTATACTCATATAGTGCACAAGGTAGGTAGACAACCCTAGGTTGTGGTAGTTTTTGTTGGATATACCTTGTGATTGATTGGTATTTTGCAGTAGATATCAACTTAGCAAAGCATAGGCGTATAATGCCATGTTTTTCAATGATGATGAATCATTGCATCATAAGTTATCTTGTAACAAGGTTGTTTGAAAAATAACAAATTCAGTGTTTAGTATCATGATGATAAAGTTTAGAAACCTGACAAGAATGACTGTAAGATAGGCTTCTGGTACTTGGGGAATTAGGACCCTAACACTAAGAGAACCTTCTTATGTTCTGCATTTCTCTTTCTTACCTTCACTCATCTGCCTCATACAACTGTTCCATGTGTGGTCACATGTTTCTGCAATGAATGTCTCTTCTCTCGCTATAAATTCTGTAGGAAATTGCACTTATATGTTTTAGTTCCCTATAAATTATTTAATATTTTGGATTTATAAATGTGTGTCCTTTTTAATAATCATGGTTGTTAAGTCGTCCTTCGATCAACCTAATTGTTTCTCATGCTTGATCGGTTTACCCAACAGAGTGAATACCAGCGAGGTGTTAGTGCGTGGCACTTTGATATTGAAGACCTCAAGGCTCAAGCATCACTAGTAAAGTTTACTGTTTTCTTTTTGCTTAACTTCCATTATACCTTAATTGCCTTATTATTAAGCTATCTAAGTTTCCAGATTTATGAGGATGAATCATCTGAAACAAAAGAGGACGATGTCGCTGCAAGAATCATTGAATCTGAAAAGGTTTTGTAGATTCATGACTACCTTTCTTTATAGAAGAGACATTTAACAGTCCTCTTTAGAAAAGCTTCAAGTTACTTTCCAAGTGCGCAGAAATGTTATGAATTTGGAATATTGTCCAGCATTCAGCAGAACCATCCAAATAGCTTAAATTGTAATATCCTCCTCCTTATTTTTTCTTGTTGACCAAACATAGCAATCTCAATGTGTGCCACGCTCTCTGTGTTTTGGAATTTTAATTGTTGCTGCCCATGATCAAACTGTTGCCAGGAATTTTGGAATGTCCCACTGAAAATTCTTAATTATGGTCTATGGGTGAGTTGTGTGAGTGGGAAATCATCATAATACCAGGCTTGTTGTGCAAAATGAGGGAGGAAAAACTAGACTTATAACCATATTGACAATTTTACTTGGTTACGAATTTTTCTGGCTGGATCTAGGCAGATCCAGCGTCAGCAAACTTGAGAAATGCACCCTGTGATAACTGTATAGGATACCTAGGTGCAACGCAGCTCCCATTTTATAAGTTAATTTTACAATATGAAGAAAAGCACATATTGGATATTTCTGTTGTAACAGTTCTTTTTTTCGTCATCAGAGTTTATATTCGAGGACCCCTTCAGGACAGTCGTCATCTGCAAATGAAAATACCTGCAGGTTAAGCAAAAAACTGCTGCATGTTGTTAAGTTTATTTAAACTTTTTCTTGATATTTACCATCATCTGCAAATGAAAATAACTGTAGCAAAGCGAAACTCTTGGCTATGTTCTAGCGATAAATCTTCTTAGAACTTTAAAGTGTGTACCTGTTGATTCTGCATATAACTGCAGAAGTACTTGTACAATTCAAAAATCAAAGTAGGATGTTGTGGATAGAGAATGACCAGCAACTTAAATGATGTTAATATTTTGATTTTCAGCACAACATTTGTCTTGAAATGTAATATCCCCTGTTATATTTCAGTGAAGAAACCTCTACGACGAATCCTGATTGTAGAAGGATGCCAAATGGACATGAAAATTCTAGATCAGAGAATGATTCATTGCCCTCTACATCAAAGGAACCAGAGTCGAAATATTGGAGAACTAATGTTGGACAGAAACAACAGACTTCTGGAGGTCCAGTTGAAGGTGGTGTTAATAGCTCAACAGCTGAAAGGAGCCATAATTTTGAAAGGTCTGTTATCTTTACAACATCTTTTTTTCTCAGAAGTCTTATTCTGGTTTCTTGTTATGGAAGAACACTCCCATCGTTTTAGTCATCAGTTTATCCTATATTAATATTCAATTACCCTTCTTTCTCATGGCAGGGATGCAACTGCTGACAAACATGGAAGTGATACGAGAAGAGCCTCAAATCTTAGTGGTCCATTATCATTGCCAACTCGTGCCTCTGCAAACAGTTACTCAGCTCCTATACGGTCTTCAGGAGGTACAATTCCATAGACACGTCCGGTTTTGCTCTGGCATTGTTGTAGTACAGTAGCATATACTAGGGCTTCTCTATTTCCCCTGTTTAACTGTGGCCTTCAAACATCAATTTTGTTTCGGATTTATGTGCTTTCTGGATGAGTGGTACTGGAGGAGTTTCTTTTGATCATTGTAGGATATGTAGACTCATTGGGAGATAAATCTAAACGTAGCGTGGTGCATATTAAAGGTCGCTTTTCTGTGACATCTGAGAACGTTGATCTTGCGAAGGTAAGCAAATTTGGTGGATAAACTTAAGGTAACAGTACAGAGCCTAAATGCTTTTTTTAACATATCCTTACTTTACAGGTTCAGGAAATTCCATTGAGTAGCATCTCACGCAAATCACCACAGGTAAGATTGTTATTAATATTAATATTACCAGGCTATTTTCAGACATAATTATAGTCTAGGTTAAATGGAATCTACGTCAGTCTGTACATTTGTGATTAATACCTTTCTTGCGCAGGGTATACAGCTAAGAAAATCCGCAAGTGTTGGTGATTGGATTGTCAATGCCAAACCAATGGTATAATTCTTTTATCTGAGGTTTATTTGCTTAGTTTCACTTTCTTAAAGAGACCATGAGAAAAGATTTTCCTTTCAAAATTGTAATATTCCTTGAGAGATACCCATAGAGACAATCCATCATTTCTGTCCTTTTTGCAACTTCTGTTGTAGCTGATCCAATTTTCTTGATGCATGGATGCTACAGTCTAACAGTCATCATCTGAAGGAACTCTGCAATAGCTCGGTATCATCGTCTGTTCTCATTCCCCACCTTGAGAGCCTCGTGCAACAGACTACGCTTCAGCAAGTATGGAGGAAGCTTGACATGTTTAAGAATGTACTCCCTCCGTTCCGAAATATAAGTCTTTCTAGTGATTCCACTAGGTGGACTACATACAGAGCAAAATGAATGAATCTACACTTAAAATGCACATATATACATTCGTATGTGGTTCATAGTGAAATCTCTACAAAGACTTATATTTAGGAACGGAGGGAGTATGATACATGATAAGTTATATAAAAGATATTTATCATTTTTTTGTAATTTTCTTACCTCAGGATCTGATCGTGAACCTACTAAGTAGCATGCAACAGAATGAGAAAGCTGACGGTAAATGTTTTTCTCTTCTGGCCATGAAATTCTCCTTATTCCTTTGTTTAAATCTTAAATCTCGTATTTTCTTCAGGTGCACAGTCTGGAACGGCGTCGCAAGTCCGAAATATGCAAAGTGAGACAGTGGTAAGCAGCAATGGTGTATGATTTCTTGTGTTGTTAGGGGCTACCCTTACTGAATGATAGTGGTTCCTTAAGAAGATTGTTTGTCATCACTGAATCCTTTCTATTGTTTGGCAGGTTGAAACATCTAATACTGAGAAAGAACGGTCATTACTTGTTAAAATTTCAGAGCTGCAGTCTAGGTAGGCCCACTGCCTTGGGAATGATCTCACAAACAATTCCAACAAACACATCACTGTAACAGTTCTAGCACATTTACATGTTTATGTGGCAGATGAATTGTTATTAGTTATTATGGTGACATCATGTTTAGTCTCGTAGATGCTGATTTGTCGGTCATCAGATAGAATCAACTTTTAATATTGCTATTAGATGCTATATAATCTTTATTTTCGAACATATGTATACATTGCATCAAATTCATGAACTTCCCTTTTTTCCTGCAGAATGATTACTTTGACTGACGAACTGATTTCAGCCAAGCAAAAACATGTTCAGGTTGGTACCAACATTTGTTTTAGTATGTCGCAATACATTTCTTAAGCTGCCATTTGTTCATGGATGAATGAATCTTTATTCACGATGCCTTTTCCCCGAATCGTTTTCAGTTGCAGCAAGAGCTTAATGCGTTATACTGTCGAGAAGAAATAGAAGACATTAGGGACGAGGACAATGAAGAAACATAGCAAGGTGAAACATTCAGCTGATATGGGTACCCGCACTTGGCTTTCGCATCATCTGAGAGTTTCATAAGAGAAGCAGTACTCGCGGAAGCTATATATATATATATCCGAATAAGCGCCGTCAGAAGAAGAAAAAAATGGGGACGTGCTCCTTGGCCTGTTGCCATCAGTGTGTATATTAGTTTTTATTTAGCTTTTTTTTTTGGTTTATTTTATTCAATAGGTTTTGGTGGGTCATAGATTGTGGTCCTGTGCATTCCCCTGCTATGGCCACACCTATCATTCAAACATTTGTGATTATCCCGTAGATTGTGTAGGGTGCCCGTTGGTTCAAACAGCTTGCAGAAGAATGCAAAATAAATAAATTGTACTCTATCCAGCAGTGGCATGTATAATTTTGTCGCTGAAGCATTATCATTTGATCCCTGCCTGGTTGCGGCCCTCCATTGCAGAACATTGAATGAAAATAATAATCAACCAAGGATGACAGTAGAGCCCATTTATATTAAGAGCTTTGCTGAACTTATGCTCCCAGTTTTGAATGTATCAATATCAGAACTTGCCCAGTAGAGTTTGAGTTCTATTTTTGGGCAGCAAGTAGTACCAAGTTGTGCGAAAAGTACGCAGCATTGAGCTACTGAAGAGGCAAACGTTCGCAAACGCATCTTCGGAACCTAAACACGAAAGTTCATTGAGCCGACTGCTTCAGTTGCTGAACAAGAACAACGAAGCATGGCAATGTTTGTCACAAAATACAGATTACATTTTCCGGTGTGCTTTTGGATGGCTCTGAGAGTTCTCCAAGGCAGAAACGTATACTGACAGAAAAAACGAGAAGATCGGCTAAATTGTGTTGACAGGAAAGAGAAGGCCTGCATAACAATGCAAAATCCACCCCTTGTTGAGAAAAAGGAAAGCCTACACTACAACAACAATTAGTACAATGCAAAATTCACCCTTGTTTAGGAGCAATAAACAGAGGAAGCAAATTTTGCAGCTACAACAACAGCAGTACATTTGCACGTGCCGCTTCCTACTCCTTCCTACTGCTAATCTAATTGTTTTGTCTTGTCACCTTCCATGGTTGAGCTGCTAGGACCTTCACCAGCCTCATGGGCCGCCTCGCGGCCCTGACTGCGGATCTTTTCTGAGTACTTCGCAAATGCAGCAGTAAGGGCCGATTTGACATCAGGGCCTTTCTTGTTCTTGGAAGTGCCTGGCTTTTCCGGCGTGCCATCGTTGGTCGATGAAGGCTGACCAGACGCTTTCTCTCTGTCGGGAGTATCAGGTACTACGAGGTTTGGGCGGGGCGTAACGCGTTTAAATGGCTCATGAAAAGTATCATGAAGTCGCTTTACCTACGTTCGACAAACTCTACATGTTAGCCTAGCGAAACATGGCCTTTCATGTTATTAAGCGGAAAAGTAAAGCAATGCAAACATGGCTGTAGCTTATTATATCTATGGGATGATCGGAAAAAAAAATGTTGGGTAACAACATGAACCATGACAAATAAAATTCGAGGTTTGAAGTGGCACCTTCCGTTCGCCAATTCCTGGACAACGAGCTAGTTCTTCCATAGAAGCATCCATGACTCGGGAAAGTGACTGCAAATACGAGACCCGATGCATGTAATTATATTGTGAATTGTTTGATGGGTGATCTTGTCAGGTGAAATGCTACCATTTTTACAGTAATAAAGCTGTACACAACCATATCCAATACATTATGGAAGACAATGTATAGTTCCAGTTCTTATTCCATCTTACCCCAAAAGACGAACCAAGTGTGATAACATCTGTTTTGTTAACACGCCGGATGGATGTAAGAGCATGAGTGAACTGCCAAAACCAGAACCACAGCATAAATGAGTAATACACCAAATAATGATCGTTGTTAACACAATGGACACTCCGAACAGGGCGATATAATTGAGTATTGAAACCACCAAATAATGATCGTTGTTACAGCAAATAATGAGTCAACTGCTAATAGTCAGCCCAAAAGGACGATATAACTTCTGTATTGAAAGTTTGAAACACTTGCAAAGCTTGGAACTTGATAAATGAAAAAGCAATACTGAGTATTGCTGAAGTTGCGGGATTTCTTTTCCGCAAATCTTAATTACTCAACATACTTATTAATCCGTCCCAGTCCAGTTAATGAGATAGATAGATTAAACCATGTTGTAACTGTAAGGGTGCATACCCGAGATAAATAATCATTATCTGTGTGCTCGCGAATGCTGTCAGCTGGCTTGTTTTCAAACACTTTAATAGTCTCCAAGTACCTGCCACATTCCTCCAGACTACAAGAGAGAACAGTTTGGTCAAAGAGTATCTTAGTAAGCCTTTGCAACCTAATCAGTACATCATCATGTTGTTACTAAAACTTTCCAGTTAGCATGTTGGAGAGCCATTAGCATTTCTTTAACATGTACATGCATCCATTCTTGGATCTAATTTTCGTATGCAAAATGCTCAACAAGTATTAATAATGAGATTACTAAGCAGTGCACGGTCGCAGTTTTATTTCAGAGCAAAGGAACCTAAACAAGAAGATCTTATGATTGTAATTACATTTATAAACAACCGAAGCAACAATGCAGAACTAAAACAAAGGGAACATAATTAAACATGGTATTGCATAATCCCAGCATATAAGAATGTTCTGAATAATACCTCCAACCACACAGAAGGGTGCAGTCATGCAGCAGTGATGTCCTTGTGACTTCATGTAAAGGCTTTACTACATCTTCCTGATCATGAAGTATATGAACATGGATTAATAAACAACCTTTTTGAGATGTCTCAAACTTTATTTCCCAATTAAAGCAAAATATGTTGGTCAGATGATTCAAACTCACAATATCAATATGGCACAAGATGACACGGAGTTTGAAATTCTTTTGGAGCTCCCTTATCCGATAGTACAAGTAGTCTGGGTGAAGAAGATGGTACCTGAGACTGCATCGACCAAAGTTACATGGTAAGAATCATGCCACTACCTCACGGTACACACCAGGGCACAAAACCTTTACTAGCAACAGGCAGATCACTAAGATCACAGTACTACTGCTCCAAACTTGTTGTCTAATAGATTGGTAGGATTGGTAGTGCAGTGCACTATATGAAATGCTAGGGTGTTCAAATAAGGATTCCACATGAACCCATGAAAAAGGGAAGCAGGCAGTAAACCCCGTTTTCGAACACCCCTAGCGAAATGTATCTGTTACATGCACAGTATTTTCGCGTATCTCTGGTTCTAATATTGGCCCCCAATGGTAACAATACATGCAGTGAAGCCAGCAACAAAATAGAGGGTGTCCCTCGCCACCTCTCTGTTTTTGGTGGAATAGCCTAGTTTAGGCTTACTTTCGATTCCCTGCCAACCTTCTTTCTGTTTGTTTATTTATCCTTGTTTTTGTTTGAGTTTCACTTTGTGCCTTCTTGGCATTGTTCTTCTACTGCAAAACGAGTCGAGAAAAAGAAACCAACAAATAGAATGATAGAGCAAGAACCTTATGTAGAGTGCACATGATGATTGCCCAATCACGTAGTCTGGAACAATGTCAGCGAACGTCCACCTCGCATTCCTGATGTGCTTCAGTAATGGGTTCCCTTTCTGCCAAGTGAGAAACGAACAAAGACTCCAAATTTAACACAAAAGAAAGGGGAGAAGATTGATTAATAAGAAGAGAAGTACCAAATCATCACCACACTCCATTACCTGCCTATTGCTCACGAGAATGGCGTTCTTGCTCTGGGACGGCGTAGTGGTGGCGCCAGCCAGAGGCGGCCTGTTCAAAGAAACCGAACCTAGAGGGGTGAGGCCTCACTGAGAGAATCCGAGGAGAGGGCGAGGGAGATGGTACCTAGGAGCGGTGGATTGCTGTGAAGGCGGCGGGGGAGGGGAGTAGAACTCGGAGGATTTGAGGAAGGAGAAGGCCTCGGAGAACGACGACGACGACGACGAAGAGCCGGCGGCGGCAGCGGCGGCGCTGGGGAGAGGAGGGTTGTAGGAGGGGGGCGTCGAGGAGGAGGAGGAGGCAGCTGCTCCGTTACCGAAGACCTCTTGGTAGGACGGGATCTTTATGAGGTTCTTGCCGGAGTCCGGCCGCTGCCGACCTTGCTCTCCGTCCATGGCGCGCGGGGGCCTCAAGGGAGGGGACGACCCGCAGGTCCGACCACCGACTGCCTCGCTGCAGCGTGGGACTATCAGGCTATTGTGGGCTCGTTGCGATGGTTCGATCTGTTAAGACTCCCGCTACGGGCCGGTCATGGACTAACAAAATATTGGATGCTTTTAAATGATGATGATAGCCCATGAGCCTAAGAGGCCAATTTGGACTAGAAGTTGACGCGCACTTCGCTGCGCCTGATCTCAAAAAAAAAAAAAGAAGATTTCTAACAAAACAAAAAAGATCTCAAAAGAAAAACTTTGCTGCGCCTATTTAAAAAATATTGTTGCGTCGGTTGTGTACTTTTTAAGCCGTTTTATTGTTGATGTTTGATGAAGGATGTGTGTGTGTGTGTTGTGTCATTTATTTTCGCAGGCCGTTGGTGTGGCTGGCTTGGTCCTTGACTTTAGATTGGACATGAGTTTTTTTTTGGAGTGGTGTGTGACTGTTGTGTTCCTACATATGTGATACTATATGATACCACACGCTTTGCTGGGGGAATCAGTTGCAATATATTTCAATGTGATTTGATCGTATGAAACATGAATAATTGAATTAATAGCACATGAACTAAAACTTAAAATACATACTCCCTCCGATACAAATTATAGTTGAAAAATATTTGTTGAATATAGGTGATGTAATAATACGTAGAAAAAAATTCACATGCATGATGAGTGGGCCCTTAATGAGGTGGCATGTGTGATTAGGTGGGATGTGTGCATGTTAAGATAAATAGAAGTAATGAAGATCAACTAATAATGAAAAAAATAATCTCATGCATGTTGTGATGGCCCTTTAATGAGGCGACATGTGTACATGTTAAGATAAAAGAGATAACAGGGACAACTATTTAGGTATATATAGGACATATGATCCATTGTCAATCAGCGACGCGTGTGTGTCACACGCATGGCACACGCATCCAATAGCTGGATCCAAGCGGTTGAAAAAGTGAACGCCCTTTTACGGACCCACGCATCCAATCTACCAACGATGCACCAAAGGCCTCAATTTCGAGAGAGCATATTATCTTTAGAGATTCCTTTGTTCCTTTTCCCAGTGACAGGAATGTAGGGGTGTGTGAGATCCACACAGCTGAAAAAATAGCTAATTGTTTACATCTTAATAACGACCACACCACGTGTCGGATGGCTGATCTTTTGGCAAAGATCGATCAAATCACGAGCCGTCCGATCATGGGATGCCCACCTTGCGACCACCCATCTCCACATTGCAATATGAGCCATGTTGCAGATCTCATCGCAACACGATCCATGTTGCAGATCGGTGCTTCCGGCAACACCGGCGATTGCAACATGCTGGATGCTGCGATTACAACACATCTGATGCCGCGGAGAAGGGATGAATCAGCGGTGCCACCGGCTCGCAACATGTCCTATGTTGTGAGTGCAAAACATCGAATGTCGCGGCGAGGGGATGCAGATGGTGTGTAGCGGTCGGCGCTGCCCTTCGAGTTGTGACGGCTGTGGTGTTGCAACTTGCAACACAAGGGTTGCAACAATGACAGTGTTGGCAGATCCCATGACCACAGCAGTCGCAGTGCCACAACTCATCTAGTAGCGGTGGACATCGATCTTTGGAGCAACGGCGGCGGCCATGGGAGCCCACTCTCTTTGTATGTATCGAGATGCATAAGCTAACTAGGGTTGCGGGAAAAACAACGTTTGTTATGGCTGGGATATTGTAGGATTGAAAGTATGTCTAGAGGGAGGGGGTGATTAGACTACTTGACCAAATAAAAATCTGTCCTTTTCCCAATTTTAGCTGTAGGCAGATTTTATCAATTATGACAAGTCAAGTAACACCCTACACATGCAAGTCTAAGAGTATACTTGTGGAATGTAGAACATTGCACATGTAAGTAAAGGAAAAGGGTTTGGAGAAGGCAAACGCAATGGGGACACAAAGATTTTTGGCGTTGTTTCGATAGGTCGTGCTATTGTACATCCACGTTGATGGAGACTTCAACCCACGAAGGGTAATGGTTGCGTGAGTCCATGGAGGGCTCCACCCATGAAGGGTCCACGAAGAAGCAGCCTTGTCTATCCCACCATGGCCATCACCCACGAAGGACTTGCCTCAATCGGGTAGATCTTCACAAAGTAGGTTATCTCCTTGCCCTTGCAAACTTCTAGGTTCAACTCCACATCATGTTGGAGGCTCCCAAGCGACACCTAACAATCTAGGAGACACCACTCTCCAAAAGGTAATAGACGTCATGTTGATGATGAACTCCTTGCTCTTGTGCTTCAAATGATAGTCTCCCTAGCACTCAACTTTCTGTCACAGATTTGGCTATGGTGGAAGAAGGATTTGAGTGGAAAGCAACTTGGGGAGGGCTAGAAATCAAGGTTCAAATGGTAGGATTGCAATCTCTTGCTCTAGACACATGAGTAGGTGGTTATCTCTCAGAAATGAATGGTGGCAGTGTAGGCACATTCTGATGGCTCTCCTCAATGAGGAAGAAGGGGTGGAGTGGTATATATAGCCTCCACACAAAATCCAACCTTTACACACTTTTGACCCATCTCGGTAGCACCGATCAAAAAACTCGGTGGCACTGATCTGTGTAAAATATGAATGTTAGGAATCTCGATGGGACTGACGGGAACAACTCGGGGGGACCGATGTGCAAGGGCTTAGGGAAAACCTCGTCTCGGTGGCACCAATTGCATCATCTCAGTGGGATCAAAGTGAAGCAATAAGGCAACAGAGAATCCGTCAAGCCATCTTGGTGGGACCGATTGCAATTCTCAATGGAACTGAAATAATTGCAATAAGCAACAGAGAGCTGGCAAGGCCATCTCGATGGGACCGAGATCCATATCGGTGGATTCGAATTGTTAGGGTTTTGGCAGTGGCTAAGTCCAGATGAACTCGGTGGCTCCGGGTAGGAAATATCGGTGGGGCCATGCTGGAATTTAGGGTTTAAACATACTTGGATGGAGAAAGTGGCTGAGGATTTTGGAGCAATATCACTAAGCACTTGAGCAATAGGATCATTAAGCAACACCTCATCCCCTATCTTGGATCACTGAACCAAAAATGTAGAGTCCTGAGCTTTTGCCAATCCTTGTCCTTAGCATTTTGAGGGGTCCACATTTCTAGTTCTTGCCATGCAAATCACTGAACATGTCATGACCGGTTTTCCGGGTATAAATTTCCAGAAAAAGACCGTCGTGCTCATCAGCCCCAGGATTACTGTTAGCTGATGAGGCTCCAACTTGATACATAAATTCCAAGAAAATACAAAATATGTAGTACAAGACCGTTCTGGCCTGTGAGTACAACAAAAGGTTTCTAGTGGTTGATGGCGGAAGCGGGTTGTGAAACATCAGTGTCTATGGGACTCCATTTCCCAACAGGAACAGCTGACCAGGTTAACTCCTATCTTCGCGAGGCTGCTATCTCCATTGTGTGGGTTCCGGGGCTTTCAACATGGTCGCTCCTTTCCGCGCAAGAAATCTAGCCAAGACAATAGCCACGGACAAGCCAGTGAGTACTTTGAATGTACTCGCAAACATTATGAACACAGGTATAATATAACAATGATGTGCTGAAAATATTTTATGCTCATGACGTCAGTCAACAATAGTAAATAAAATTCTGATGCGTGCAGGCGGTTATTTGTAAAAATGCAATAACATAGTAGTATTAAAATTTATGAAATAAATAACAAGCAAAGCCACAGTCGGGCGTCTTAGCGACACCACATAAAGGGCTTTAAAATAATTGTCACAGTCGGGCGTCTGAGCGACACCACATAAAGGGCTTTAAAAGAAATGCCACAGTCGGGCGTCTGAGCGACACCACATAAAGGGCTTTAAAAGAAATGCCACAGTCGGGTGTCTGAGCGACACCACACAAAGGGCTTTAAAAGAAATGCCATAGTCGGGCGTCTGAGC